CACAGTAAGGCGTTGAAGAAGAATAAAGAATACTTACTTTGTGTATGATAAACAGTAAGTGCAGAATCGCTCACTTGTTTGGTGCATTATGTTCGGTGCTTTTTATAAGAGTAAGAGGAATTGGATTTTTGTCAATTTCCTTTGACTTTTTAAGTGAAAATACATTGATGTGTACATGGACAAAGTCAAAGGAGTGTGCGATGCTGAATTTGTGCAATTCTCTGATGAATGTGAAAATATGTCGATGTGTACATGGGTACCACATTTGTGCAATTCTTAAAAATGTGCCAAGCAGTGGGTGATTCTGCACTTTCCTCTACAATATTTGGTATTCTTCTGTTATCGGGACCAGATTAAGAAATGCGTGTATGTAAGCATGTGCATGTATGTGTGTGTATACATATAGATACTCACATACATAAGCTACTAAGCTACATGCATACATGAACACATCCATCCATTCATGCATGCGTACAGACATACATTTTTAAATTCGGTCCCAATAACAGAAGAGTAACTAATATTTTTTTTTTTTTAATTACAATTAATCAAGCAGCATTACATTTTCTTATTGAACTAAAATTTATTTTTATTGTCAAAGATGGGCTTGTTTTATTTCTGAACCGCCTATACTGAGCTAATAATTTTTAAGGATTAATCATCTTTTTTCCTCCTAGTTTCATCATATTTTGCTCCTTAATTTGAAGTGCGTTAAGATAGCTAAATCCAACTTCAGCTGTAATATATGATGCTGAAATAAAAGTTAGCACTGTTATAAAAATGTTCAGATGTCTAGTATTAACTATTTCATTTTCTCATAATAATTTTCTGTTTTTTAAAAATGCTTTTACTCCAATATCAATAGGGACATCTCAGTTCATAAACTTTCTTGACTTTTTTTGTGTTGTAATTTACTTTTTGAAAGAATTTTAAAAAAAAAATCCAGTCAGGAATTTATATTTAAAAACCTGCAAATCTAATGCTAGAATCATAGGATAACTTTTTGAGATGATTAATATACTTTTGATTGTGAAAATTGCAATACTATGAAGGAATCACGTGAATCAATTGAGACTTATATAAACAGAATACGATGTGTAAATAACTAGTTTCAGAGTGTTAGCATATTCATGGTTTGAGCAACTTTCTGTGAACAGTCATGTGAGGTGTATAAAAAAAGGGTTGTAGCAGGAGGTTAAAAGTAATGATTCATTATTTGACACATTTCAGAAGAAGTCACTATGTCTCATTGGCAAACAAAGGGTCCAGTATTAGCATGCTGTGCCATTGAACTCGAGCAAGTGATCTATCTATAAGAAGGAAGATTTTCTTATTATGAAACTGCAGTTTCTACGAGGCATAAATCCTTGGAACTACTCTTATATGCACCCTCAGGTTGCTAAATTTCTTGCCAAAATCCACACCGCCATATTACTACCTAAATGTTTTGTCTACATTTCGAATTTTAAGCCTAAAGTGTCTTCAAAAACGCCTTTTTCGCACTTGCAAAAACCACGTTTTGAAGACACAATTTAAGCTAAAAATCCAAAACAAAAACAGAAAATTTAGATTGCAAAAACGTAAAGTTTCTAACCAAAAATAGCCCACCAGCGGCCGGTCGATGAACACTGGTAGTTCGGTCCAAGATTCGAATCCCGCGAACAGGCTGGCTGCATGGGTTTTTTCATGGTTTTCCCCATGTGTAACATGTATACGAGCCAGTTGCCTTTAGAAAATCCTCCACAAAGGCATCCTTTTCCTTAGGCAGATAGCCCTCGAGGTTTTGCTGTAATTAAATAACCTAACCAAAAATAGTTTACAAGAATCCATGAACACAGCGATACGTTTTAACTTCAAAAAACCTCTACGAATTGCACATTCTAGGCAGCGAACAACAATAAATTTCAAAGAATACCATGTACACAGCATTCTGTTTAAACTTAAAAAAAAATCTACAAATTGAGGCATTGTGCACAATCATCAAATAAAACTAAATAAATTACAACAATTCAAAAAAAACAATAAAACAGAAATTCATAGTAAAAAAACAATGAATTAACATTTTACAAAATAAAACAGTAAAATAAAATGCACTTACCATAATACATTCCTGATAAATTTCGCCAGTCACACAACATCTTTGAACAAAAAGACACGATTTCTGTATCACATGTCTTCTGAGATTCAAAATTTCGAAAGTAACAATAAAACTTCCCCCCAAGTTAACATACTACAGAAAAAACGCAATCCAAATCTTAACTCTGCTGATAGCCACATACTTTAGCAGCAAACATTTGACTGCAAACCCACACAAGTCTATCAGAAACGTCGTTCTTCGCCCAACTTCTCATATCAGCTCTGCATTTCGGACACGCCAAACTCCGTTTTAAAAGTTCTGACTCCCACAGAAATTCCAAAAATACACTTCAATCCTCATAAACACACCCGAGAACAAAAGACTCGTTAACAACTCCAACATCGTACCTTTTAATACCAAATTTACTTTCCTCACAATCTAAAATACGCAACTGAAATCTTGCCATTTCAACATAGGCATTTGCAACATAGGCCATTTCAAATCACGCACGACACGAACCAACGAGCAATTAAATCACTCCAGCAAAAGATTTTTTCAACGTCAATAGGGTTGCCATACAACATGCAGTCGCACCTCTAGGTGCGCACACTCGGTGTTCACAAACTAACCACCACTTGTGGCTAAGTAACTTAAACATAAAATAGTATGTACAATCAGAATGAATCAAATTTCAGCTGCACTTCAATCTAAATCAGATTTATTGACTGCACACAGCAAAGCCGAGTCTAAAATATCACATAATCTAAAAAATTAAGTGGCTGGCACAAATATTTAACCACAGAACTACTTGCAACTCATGGCATAAATCTCGCTTGCAGCATGAATTTTTTCTCAGTATAAACCCGCTCTACTTGTAACTGTTCTACTATAAACTCTTCAAATCCGCTATTTAAATACTATTTCTGAACTCATTTATATTTTGCATATACATCATTTGAATTTGCATTCTGACAGGAACTTGAAATCAGAAGGGAAAGGAAAGTTTCTTAAAATAAAAAGAATTGATTAGTATAAAATAAGGTCTTTACAAGATGACCTCATAAAGGTGGCTTATTTGCCCATCATCTTGGACGTAGCATACCACTGACAGCAGCCCATCGCTTCACCGTTTACAGTGGCGTAGAGAACAGAAAGGCTAGATACCTCATCAATGGAGGCATGTCCTCTGTATTGATGAAAGTTATTTCAGTTTGACAAATGATTTTCCACACCACTTGATATGAAGAAAGGTAAATACATGTTTTTATCCCATTAACGTCAGCAAAAGAAACCTTACAGGATTTCATGGGGAGACATTATAAATGGATGCAAGGTGCATTCAACAGAAGTTCACTTACTGGAGATTGTTACTGTGATGAAGTTATCCTATCCCACATGTGTCTTTTCCAATGTGCCATTGATCTCGACTATGTTTTTATTGATGGGAATGCACAGCCACAGGACTCATGCTGTTGAGGAGCTCATGGAAAATGAAGATATCCACAAACTAGATTTTCTAATGTGCTCCCCTGATTAAATCCCATTGAACATGTATGGAATACTTTAATGAAACACATGGCAGCAGGATCTTATCCCCTGTAGAGTACCAGACAACTGAAGTAGATGCTGCTTGAAGAATGGAAGATCTTATTTCAAGAACTGTTAAATAATTTGGTGACTGACAGATGCTGTAATGCAACCATTGCAGTTAGGGGTGGTACAATTCGTTACTAAGGCTCTTTGGTTTGTTCTCCTTGGCCAGTGTCATGTTGCCAATAAAGTCTTTTTCTATTTGTTCCATACTATATGTATCCTATTAGTTTTTTTTCCTACTATACTTTTCTCATCTTTTAATTACTATATTGTGCCTTTGTAGTAAGAATTTCATGTGTCTCAGTTGATTTTTTATGGGATTATGACCAGAATCGGAAAAGCTGCATAAGTTTTACACACTAGTGTGTTTGGGATACAATAATGGGTCGAGTACGCATTTAAATGCTATATAGGTGAGTGCCATCCAGTGTTATACTGGATGTGATGATTATACTGGTTGCCAAGCGTGATGATGTATATGGTGGATGATCTCATCTGCTAAGAATTGAAGGTTGCATCAGAAAGGTTATAGAGCCTGAAGACATACCCTTCATTCAGTGCATTTTTGGGGGTGTATTTCAACAGGACAATGTCCATGTACATATTGCTAGAAATGCTCAAGTCATCTTCTCAGCACATCAGGTACTGCTTCTTACTTGGGCTGCACATTCACCAAATATGTCGGGGATTTTATAGGCTGGCAACTTTCTCATGACGCTCATCGCACAGCCAAAATGGATCAACTGTGGACTAGGATAGAAGCAGTGTGGATTGAAATGCTTTCAAAATCTGTTTGATTCAAGGCCACTGTGAGTGCAAGCTCTTACTGCAGTGCCTGGCAACTTAACCAAATACAGATTTTTGGCACATAATGTTCTTGGTCTGTAAATTTAATATTTTCCTTTTATCACTTCTACTGGTATAGGGAATAAATTTCATTAAATTCAGTTGATTCTTTCATGGTGTTGCAATTTTCACAAATAGGAGTATAAATGTCAAATCAGCTTCACCGATACTTTTTCCCTCCTTATAATTGTCGAAAGTTTGCAAAATATTCGTCTCATAGAATTTATGATGATTTGAAAACTCAAATTCCTTTTGAAAAACAAAGCCAGATTGCAATTTTTTTAATCTATTGGAAACTATGTTGGGACTCGTTAAATTTTGAGCATAATCAGTCAAATAAAAGGAGCTTTGCATTTCTGTTACTCCCAATTCAGAGAAGCCTTTTTTGTGGATGTATATGTATGTTTTGAAGTTAATAGTAGAGTTTATTATTTCGTATTGTTCATTTCAATTCATTGCTGATTTTCTTTTATTGATATTTCAGGGAACATGAACTTCCATGGCTAGAAAGAGTAGGGGCGAAAGGAGATTTGTTTTATGTCGAATTGCAGTGCTCTGTGAACTCATTTAGCTCTAACCTAAGTAATACTCCATTAGAGGCAGCTGATGCAAAGGCAGCTCATAAAGTAAAATCTAGATTAAATACCACTGAAAAATTCAAAAAATTGATGAAAAGAAGGAAGAAAATTGTACAAAATTCAATTTCTCTTCTGAAGTCAAACAAATTTCGTACAAATTCCTCTGACGATATTTCATTCGATTCACTGCCTATACCTTTCAGGGATATATATGTTGATATTGGTTCTTCAAGACAAACTATAGGCCATAAAGCTACACTAGCTGAAGAATTATTCGGTCTTGAACTGGGCAGAGAAGATGAAAAAAGTTCTATTGTTGAGGATAACAGGTTAAAAGTACTGTCATTTCCTTCAGGTAAAGAAATAGCTGATGTGAAAATTGGTGAGTATAGGTTTACCTGTAAAATAAACAGTATGTCTTCTGTGCATTAAATCAATTGTGTATCACTTATTTCACTTTCCATTCATTTTGTGTGTAAAATGTTTTGTAGGTGATTGGCTGAAATCTGTAAATGATATACCTGTCAATTTCAACAACATAGATGATGTTCTCAGAAATATTGCCTTGCCATCAACGGTTGGTGTTGTATTTTTTATTATTGCTGTTTGAATTCTGAAATAGAGCAATTCATTTTCTGTTCTGTGTGTCCGATTCTATAGTGGGACAATATTAAGAATTGTTGTTCTTCACATTTTGTTCTTGTTTCTATTATACCATTCTTAAACCACTTTGCATCAGAAGAATTGCACGATTAAGCTTCTTTTGAACAAGTGGTTAACCCTTTGGTGATGGTGAAACTAGCCATCAGTATGCTACTAATGAATTTCATAGGTTTGTATTTTGTATATTAGCACGGCAACATAGGGATATAAAAAGCAAATACACTTTATTCATGTCAGAACTTTTTTTTGTGTGCCATTTAAATGCTGTGTATTATTGCATGAGCCATTGGCCACCCTTCAGTTGTGACCTACCTTTTAGGATAGGACATTTTGGGCATTAGAGCAAAGCCAAGCATTTTTCTGGGTGTACCACTTAAGAGGTTAATGTGTATTTATTTAAAAATTCGTCAACAACTGATTTCGTGGATACGCGGCTTAGTGTTATTAATTCAAAGCACTGGGAAAAATCTACAATTATAAACAAAAGAGATGATTTATTAATCTCACTTCTAAGGTCAGGGGCTAGTAAATCTGTTCTGAGAGATTAATTTGAGAACCTAGATTGTTTAAGTACGGGACTGGCAAAAAATTTGCTTACTTAAACTTTTGGCAAATATCACATTTCTGGAAATACTCATTATTTCTTGTATCTTTGGGAAGAAACATCTTTCATAATTCTCTGTATTGTTTTTCACACCTTCAAATGTGCTGAAACTACACTGGTGTGGGAAAATTAGCTTATCAGTGGAACAAAGAGGCAAAGTGGATTGAGACACCAATCAGAAGATTGACTATGGTCAGGTACAATAGCACATGTGCATAGATGCAGCTAGACATAATTGGGGAGCGTCGGAGAGGTATAAAGATTGCCAGCAGTGTGAGCTCAGCATTTCCTGGGAAGTTATTGCACGTCGCATATGAGTTTAAATGATGTCGAGTTGCTGTCTCTGTGTGAAATGTCAGACAACCAGTCTGTTAGATGGCATCTGGATGATTTTACCTAAGGTTGAATAATTGGAAAGATTGAGGAAGGTTGAAATGTGACAAGTGTGACTGCGGGGTTCTGGATTGCTCACAGGATTGTTTCATGACTTTGAAGAGCATTTCAAACTGCAGGATCAACTGTCTGATGGTTCAGCAGTCGTTGTCCAAGAGCAACCACGGCAATAGACGACTGGTATATTGATCTACAAGCAAGAAGCAACAGATGCCAGACAGCAGAAATCTTAAGAATGATTGGATGGCAAATATCATGTTTTACCACTGAATGGAGGCTGCGTAATGACACATGATGTATACCATTAAGGCCTACTCATCAGAGGTGTTTTCTGTGGTGCAGAGAACACCAAAATTGGACAGATAATCAATGGAGGCCGAGTACCTATTAAGGATGGCAGCAGATTTAGTCTAAGTAGTGATTCTAGGCATATACATATCTAGAGAGAGCGGGGAACATGCAATATCCCCTCCAACATCATCGAAAGGGACTGATTTGGAAGTCGCGGAGTTCTCATTTGGAGAGGCGTCATGTTTGCTAGCCGTATGACCTTCACATCTTCCAAGGAGGTTCAATTTCCAGGGCCAGCTATTATAATGAGGTTCTCCTTCCTTATGTGCGTCTTTTCAGAGGTGCTATGTGTCCTCAGTTCCTCTTCATGAATCCACCTCATTGCACGGTTGTTGTCAAAGAGGTGTTGGGGAGTGATTATAATGAATGCAGGGATTGGCCAGAAGGGTCCCCAAATATAAATCCCATTGAACATGTATAGCACTTTCTAGGGAGATGCGTGGCAGCATGTAACTTATTGTCAGTAACGATTCTAGAGCTGCGACTGGCACTACAAGAGGAATGGGCAGCAGTGACTCAACTCATTGACAACCTCATACTCAGCCTGGACAGACGATGTAAAACCTGCACAGCAGTCAGGGGAGATCATACCCTTACTGAAGGCTGGATGCTTCTTATCAGACACCTTGTCAATCACCTGTGGATATTTCGGCTTTCTGTTGCATTGTGCTCTATGCTACTTTTTCAATAAAGTTCCTTTTTATCTTCTTAAATATGTTACCAATTTTTTTATGTCTTGGGGATCTTTGGTATAGTTTGCGTTAATTTGGAAAACTTTCGCGCAACGTTATATTGAAAAAGCCATCTTATCCTTAATTTTTGTGCACCATTGTTGGTTTATCATCTAACTCACTCATTACTTTAGTCTTAAAACAGCTGGGATAACAAGCCTTAATTCAAAATTACCAATTGTGCTTTTGTTGTCAAACAAAATATTATTGTTCACGTCATTCTCTTTTGCCCTTCGTTTAATTGTTTTCGCATATATTTCTTCAGAATTCAGTGCGTCTTTTAAGTACTTGTAAGTTTTTTCAAACTTTGGATTTTTAACTGTGAGTGCTTCCCTTAAGTGAAATAGGACTGAAATTAACATATGACAACTGATTTTATTCCTTCCTTTATCAATCATGATTTTTGACAATGAATCTGCTACTTGATTTTCCTTCTCTGGGCGATTTTTAGATTTTAAGTTATATTTATGAAGTTCTAAAAGTCAACTTAATTATGCATGGTGAATCTTTGCCATGCAGTATCGAATAAATGCTGCATGATCCGTAAAAACCGTGACTGGCTTTTCCTCAAAATACACCATTAATTATTCATTGAAATTGCATCACTCTAGTGTATTGCCTTCTATGACAGAGTAATTTTTTCCATGAGGCTCGTTTTCCACTTAAAGTGAGCTATTGCATGACAATGCTGCATTAAAGTAGCTCTTTTTGAATAATCTGAAGCATGAGTGTAAATCTGCAGTGGCCTAGGCAACACACGCATTCGTAAAATGTACTCGAAAAATATGTGCAATTTACAAATGCCCCTTTGTGTAAAAAATGTAAAACTTGAACATAAAAATATAAAATGTGTCTGGAAAAAATTTTACATATTTATGTATATTTTAAAATTACAATATACATAAAACTTATGCACATTTATGTGAATTATCACTCTTTATTTGTAGCTTTTGCGTATATTATGCTTAAATTTCAATATTTTATTCGGAAAATGCACGTATATGTGCTTTGCATACACATAAATCGTATTTGTTGCATAGGCATAAATCTTCCCAATTCTTTACTTTGTATATTTTTAATGAAATTTTACATAAACCTGCATAGTTTTTTACTTATCTACTAACATGTTCCTATCCACATTTTTTTCAAATCTATGTTTATTTTCACAGCTATGCGTACATATATTTAGTACCATATTTTTTCTATAAATTTTACATTATGAATATAACTTTAATATTACAGATATAAAAGTTCTGTTTTAAATGTATATTTTCATAGACTGGCACTTTTTGTTAATACTATATCAACAAAACACACTATGTATCGGACATAGTTATACTTCTACAGTATTTAAAAACACTGTCGACTGATTTTTTCTGTGCATGTTTTGAAATTTTCCAGCTCCCCCCCCCACACACACATACACTCTACAACTGATATTTAATGCATGTCCATAAATTATACTTGTAGTTTTCTTCATACATAATCTGTCTATGCATCTATCTCAGGTATAACATTTCCACTTAATGGCCATTTTATTTGAATAAATTTATTGTTTAGTTAATTAATGTTTCACAATGCCTGTATTTTTCAGATATAGTGAAACCTGCCAGAAATGTACAAAAATTTTATTTTTTCCCAGCCATTTTAAAAGTGCATTTGTTGAGCTAATGCCTTAATGCTCTAAGTATTTTGCCCACTGGAAAAATAATGTATTCTAATTGATATAATGTATCTAGCAGGATTTAATACTTTGTTTGATGTGTCTCATGTAAATTGAACAGAAAATATAAATCAATAATAGCAATGGATACATAAATAAGAACTAGGTGTGTGCTTGAAAAAACTCTTAATTTTATTATTCAGAGGAAAGCCAGTGCAATTTAAATGTCATTCAACAAGAACTGAAATGTATCTTGGACATGGTACTTCATCATTTTGAACTTGGAGAATAAATTCTCTTTTTAGCCCATTATCAATCAACCCAAAAAAAGAAAAAAAAAAAAAAAAAAAAAAATGGTGAAGCAAGGTGAAAACTTATTTGTAAAATTTACTATGCATTTACATTTCTGTTCAATTAAATTTTGGTCATTTTAGGTAACTTAATGTAAAACATTATTATAAATAGACTTTCTAATATCCAATGCATGGATAGGTTTAGTTTTGAAAAATTTAAAAAAAGTAAATACGAAAAGAAGCAGTGATTTTATGTTTTCTTTATCCTTTATAAATCAGCAGTTCATTTATAAAGCACATCTTCGATAGCATAAAAAATAATTTCAATGATACAGAATAGCATTTAGTAAAAATTTATCTGTATGATTATTTCCGTGGTATTAAGATTTTCAGCAGATATGGATCATAATTAAAGACTGATTGTTCAATATGTTAAATATATTTCTTTCTTGAGTTCATAGCAGCCTTTTCCCATGCCTGAAATCTCTAATAAGGCACTAGAATTATTAGAGTACTCTAATAAGGCACTAGAATGACCACCGAGATTTCCCACACTGTTAATGTTAGAGTTAGACAAATGTGCATTTCCGGTACTGGTAAAAATGGAAGATAATGGATTCCATGTTGATGCACAATCCTTAAAAAAAACAGCTCAGGGGTAGCCAACAGGAGGGAGGCAAATCAAGTCTTTAAAACACAAGGTTATTTTATGGTTGGTTAAATGGTACAAATTTAATACAAATGCCAATACAGTCAAAAGTCGTTAATCCGGACTCGTCGAGACTTCGGCGATTCCGGATTATAGATCATCAGTTTAAATCTGGTAAGATGGCATGCAGAAATTATACAATTATTAAAAATATGAAACCGTAATTTATG